AGGTGATTTTTTTTCCCGAATCGTGAAAAATTTCCAACAAATCAGACAAACAGCATCGAAGACGCGCAGTTATTTCAGTCAATAACAGTCGTCAAACATTAATCATCATTAGGTCGTTACGATGAAAATTTCTAACGAACCATGGAAAATGCGTTCAAAATTAATAATTAGTTAAAAACATGCAATATCAGGTGAACAATATCATCGTCAGTTGGTTGCTCCTTGCTTTAAATTATTTCTAAAAATAAGCGTTTCTTGGAAATGCACGACCTCCTCTGCGAGAAATGAGTAGTTTTTGTATGTAGACAGAAACACATATACAGTAGACTCGATATCGAGCGATAGTCCAACTCTCTCTCTTAAAATTCATTTTAGCAGTTCTTTTTTCAATTGGATTTTCACATCTGATTTTCTTATGTTATCGACGACGTATACGAAATTTGAATACGGACATCCATACTTATCCGATTATAGTGCTTCGATATTTGTAAAGAAAACTCGGTAATTTTACAAAAATATGCAAAGCTAAATTAAATGCAAATAGACTAAATCAAATCTCGAGAAGTCGAATTCGTAATACTTTAATAAGTGTAGTTTTACTGGTTTATGAAATGCATGTTCCTATCTTCGAAACTTGTAAGATATGTTTGACTTAACTTTGCAAATCTTTCGTTTCCTACAACCAGGCATTTGGTTTTAAAGTGTATAGTTATCTGTTTATTTAATAGTTATGTGGAGGAAGGTCTTTTGTGCTGTCATTTCGGAATTTGGTGTAACACAGGAATACAAAGAAGAGAATTTTTATAAATTTGTGCTTTTGATTTGAAATTAATTCTTGAATTCATATTGAGATATCGTTCCTATGCGAAGAAAAGCAAATTTTTTATTCATTCAATTTAGAAGGCAGACTTTGATTGATTGATTGATCTATGAGCCTTTCCGACAAAAACAAAATGAAACGCAATTGCTTTGATAATTCACATAAATTATCTCCTTTTTTTTTCTTTTGACTGAAATTAATAAAAAAACTTGGAGCCTAATTGTGAAATGTCGCAGCTCTTGTAGCTGAAATCAAATTAAAACTGTATGCTTCTTCTCGGGGATTTTTAATGTATTTCCTGTGTTACATTCGAATACTGGCTGCTTGTTAAAGATCTTCTACTGAAAAAGCATCATGGCAAGTTACTGGGTTAAAAAGCAATTAGATACAAAAACAAACATGAACACAGTTCAATTTCGAAATTAAATTCTGACTGGCAAAGCCATACATTGCCATGGTGCTTTTCCGTTTAAACCTCGTAAACATCATCTTGTGCTGGAGACAAAATATTTTCAGAGGAATAGGCACAGTCAATGCAAAATTTAAACGAAAAATCAAATCTTAGTTGCGTTTATTTATCGCATGAGATGATGTTTAAATAATTTTTGGCGGGAAATTTAAAGAGAAGCTTTGTTAAAATTTTTTCAGAAAAGTTGTT